TTTTTGGGTTTTGTAAGTTCAATATCATTTTGAGTGTTTTCATTTGTTCAACAATCAGGCAGAGAAGAAGAAGACCGGCTTCCAAAACAAATTAGCTGTTCTCACTGCATTGCATCAAGTTGGTGAGTGGCAAAGGATGCAAGAAGAACTTTCAAGAATGTCCCAGTGGTTTGCACTACAGGAACAGCTACACCCTCTGATCTCATTGTACCAGCACATTGGCATCACTGCCTTTTACATACTTGGATATTTGCCATGGCCCAAGTAGGATGACTTGAGACTACAGCCAAGGAGAAGAGAGACTGGAAAAAAGAGTCTTACTTTACACTGTATCAGCCTTTACAGGCTCTTCACTTTGTGTAGCCTTTGTAGGCTCCAATGTTCAAGCTTTTTGATGTTACCAAACTATATAGCCTTTGTAGGCTCCAATGGTCAAGTCTTGTGAGGCTCAAAGATTATATAGTCTTTGTGTGCTCAAATGTTCAAGTCTTTTTAGACTCATAGATTATTTAACCTTTGTAAGCTTTAATGTTTAAGTTTTTCACGTTCACAAAGGATATAGATTTTCTAAGCTTTGATATAATATTTTCTTTGTTTAACATTTTTAATCAACATATTTTTTGAATATGAGTAGATTCTTAGATCTGTGTATATATGCTTCCAGATGTGAGCAATGTACAGCAAAAGTCACGATACGATGCAACGAGCGATCGAACCCAAGCTGCCGCACAAGTTTCCTCTCACACTTGAGCCAAACGAAGTTTGTGTTTGACTTCTGTCTCTGATGTCTATACAGCAGTGCTTTCACTCAAGGTTACGTGTAACGGTATGGCATTGTTGCCACTGCTATTCCAGAATGCCATTGCAAACTGCAATGCAATGCTTACACACAGCATCAATTTCCAACGCTACCAAGCAAGGGGAAAAGCTGGTAGCCAATGCTATCTCTCACATGTTACAAACCATGGTTCTAACCGAGGGTGGTTTTCTCCCCCCTCTGGAGCAAGGAACAAGTGTTCGGTGCTCAAGCTCAGACATCCCTCGGCTCAAGCTCCGTTCACGAGTCTTACGACATGGCATGTGAGACATTCTTCATCCATGGCTGACAGCAGCAACGCGCCTCAAAGTGCGCCCATCTGCCTTACCTCAGCTTCTGCATTCGGTGCCATTGTGTATGGCGGAATGCGTTTCGCCTTCTTTGTCTTTCGTTTCTTCTTGTACGAAGTGGTCGCCACTGTCGGGTTCGGAGAGGGCTCGAGGGCGTGGGGTTCCATGCTCGCGACCTTCAACCCAGTTTGTGTTGTTCTGACCACCTCATAGTCTGTTAGTTGCACTTGGATGTTGTACAAAGCCAACGGCCAATGTGGTGCCTCTAGCTGCTTGGTAAAGATGTCTGCTTTCTGCTCCTTCGTGCCTACGATCATCAGTTCGACGTCTGGCCTATCCAGCTGCTCTTTTATAGAGCTGAGGTTGACCTTGTGCGTCCTCTTCAGATGACGGAGTTTCTTTGAATATCCTGCGGCACAGACTTTGGCACACGCTTCATTATCCTCCCGAATGCGCAGCAAGACCTGGCGTTGAAAGATGGCCGAGAAGAGCTCCGCTAATGGGATTCCTTCCTCAAATAACACATATGCCAACGCTACCGTTTCCGCTTCTGTTGTGCTCCTGGATGTGGATGTTTGTTTCTTACTGCACCAGGCAACTGGAAACGAAGTTGCCGGGCCGGACAGCTGCAGCCATCCTCCTGTGGTGCTCTTTGTGTCTTCTTCATCTCCGCAGTAGTCCGCGTCGACGAACAATTCTACAAACAAATCATCCATGGAGTCTCGAACATGTCCTAGCAAGAGCGCCTCCTGAGTGCTATTCAAGTAGCAAATGGCCTTGTGCAAGTACACATCGCAAGCTAGCGTCCAAGCATGCACGCGACTAGCCAACCAAGTGGTCACCTTCAAGACATCCGGCCTGGCCAGCCGTGCGATCCACATCAACCGCATGAGAATACCACACGCGATGTCCGCCAACTCACCACGCACCTCATCGTCTGCTGAGGTCTTCGTGACAAAGGGACAAGTGGCCTCCTTCAGCTTGGAACAGCCGGTGGTCTTGCAGTACTCTTCTATTGTCGCTTGGGCGTATGCCCTCATGTCAAAAGCAAAGTACTCTTGGTTGTCAACCTTCACGATGGAGTGGTGTCTTCCTAGGAACCTGCCAAGCGGTCCGACATCCTCTATCTGTACAAGCTCTGCCAAGTCTGCCCAGAAGCGGTCGTGTTGCCCACTAGGGCCCGACAACAACAGATCGTCGACGTAGACCACAAGCGCCAAACCACCATACGACGGAAAAGTGAACACGCTAGCGTACTCAGGGACAGCTATTGCGCCCATCAACTGCAGTTGCTTCTCCAAGTGAGCCTGCCAATGGCTGCCGGAAGCATAGTACCAGCTCTCTGGCCATAGTTCCTGAGGTAGCCTCACCCAAGTGCGACACAAGCTTTTCAAGTCCGACTGGAGATACGCCTTAATGGCGTCTGCCGATGTCGCGCAGTGGCCCTTGATCATTCCGAAAGAGATGATGGCGTTCGCAGCGACTATGCTTGCCGGACTTGCTGCCAGCGTCTGATAGAATGCGGCACGACCGTCAGCGGTCTTGGCATTGTCTCCTCTAAAGCATACCCTACCTTTCAACGAGCGAAATGAGCTATCCAATTCCATGTTCTTTTCAGAACAGATGGCCAACAGGTCAGCCAAATGGATGGTCTCGCCTGCCTCGAGTGCGTCACGTCTTACCGCTGCCTCCTCCGCGACCGTCTCAAGGTCCCAGGTCCCCATGGAACCTACCCCACGAAATTCCTTCCTGATCGCTTCCACAGCGTCAGGACGGGCCAGCACCTCGCTCCTGCCAAGCTGCCGAGTGACCAATGCGTAGACTCCTGCCGACAGATCTTCCTCCTCTGGGTGGCCTTCTGGAGAATACTCCGGGCCTTCAACTGGTGGTGGTTCAACCCATGCCGAAGACGACGACGAGGATGTAGTATGAGGGCCTGGTTCGGCCTTTGGCATAGGAGTGAGAGCCGGAGTGCGCGGAACTGGGTCTCATAGTGTTTGCATGATGGCTGAATTTGGTAGGGCCAAGGCCCAGCATCTCCTGTACCAGAAATACCAAGAGCTCTTTGGCTTCAAAATTGAAAGTTGCCCTATGGGCACACAGGTTTTTTGTTTTTGCTTTTAAGGTTTGCTGTGTTTCCTGCACACCCAGGCTGGGTGACTTTGATCTGGTGGTTTCAAACACCAACCAGCTCTTTGCCAATAACAAGTTCTCCAAGAATGATTTGGTGCTGATTCCACTTGGCCATGTAGTTTTGCAGCCCAAAGAAAAAGTCACCAAAAGCTCTGTGGTGCTCCAGCTAGCTGGTTGGAAATTTGATGATGCCTTGGTGGTGTCACACTCCAAGTGCAATTTTGAAAAGCAAAGTGGCCATTGGTGCCCTTTCTTCTGGTGCAAAGAAATGAAAGAGGAGAAGGACAAGGATGATGCTGCCCAGCCAACTGAGAAGGCCACCCTGGTCAGGGCTACTGTCAAAAACCTTGACCTGACCATCCCCTGCTTGAAGAACAAGGTGGCTTTGCAGATTGGGACCCCTTTGTGGGTAGAGCTTCAAGAGGAAGCCAAGAAGAGGAAGAAACCATGAGACCTGAAGACTTGCTGCTGGGAAAAGCTGGCTTGAAGGTTGAATATGCAAGCTTTCAAAGGCTCTAGTATTCATAGCTTTTTGAAGCTCTTTGAAAAGCCATGAGTGGCTGAATTTTCTGCAAAGCTTTTTGCCGTTCTACTCTATGCTTTTTTTGCAGCAAGTCTTTTGCCCCAAGTCTCTGCCTGTGCCTCTATAGTGTCTTGCCATTCATGGTGGACATCTCAGAGAGGGTGGTGCTGTCTTACAAGAATGTGTGTGCAGCTGTGGTTCCAAAAGTGTTGATCCTTCCTGGCCCAGATGGCAAGAAGTTTCTCAAACTCCAAGCCAGCCACCCATTTGTTTGCAGAGTGCTAGCTGCTCACAATTTGGATCTCTACAGAGAGTGCAAGAACCCAAGCCTCAGCAAAGGTGAATGCTTTGCATTGCTCAGGAAGAAGCAGGAAGAAGCTTTGGCCAATGCATCTTCAAACCAGCAGGACGATGGTGGTGAAAAAGAGCAGGCACTGTTCAAGGATGAGCAGCCAAAGAAGAAGCCCAGGCTGGACAATGGGCCTGCTACTCTTCAGCTGGATGTGGGTGGCATCAAAGTGGAAGTCTTGAAGCCCAGCTCCTACAAGGAGAAAGATGTATCTGTCTTGCTGGACCCAAGCATGCTGACTTCTGTTTTTGAATTTTTGGAAGCTGATTGCGAAAGCTGCTTCAAAGATGTACAGAAGTGAGCCTACGCAAAGAAGACAAAGTAGGCTTCAAACACAAGTTGAAGTTGCCAGGTGAAAAGGGCAATGATGTTTGTTGAATACTGGCCCTTGGTAGGGCCAGCTTCAGCCCATGAGCCCTTTCAAGCTCTAAGACAATAGCCATTCTAGGCTTTTGCCCAAAAACCATTACAGACTCAGTTTTGGACAAGCTTTTCCAAGCTCTCTTCAATGAAAGCATTTGCAAGCTCATCACTAGTAGCCCTTACAGGCCCATGCCCATTAACCTTTATAGGTTATTTTTATCAGCCTTTGCAAGCTCATTACGAGTACCCCTTGCAGGCTCATTACCAGTAGCCCTTGCGCGTTTATTTTCATCAGGCTTTGCAGGTTTATTTCTATCAGCCTTTGCAGGCTCATCCCCATTAGCCTTTGCAGGCTCAGATATAACAGTTTTTGGAAGTTTTTTTGTGGTTAACTTGTTTTGAGCTTTTTTCAAAAAGTTCTTTGTGTTTTTAGTAAATGTAAAACAATTTGTAATTGGTTCAAAACAAGCCATGTTGTTTAGGCTCAAGTACTGCTAGCCTTGGCAAGCATTTGTGTTTGCCATGAAGAGGCAAAGGGAGAACAAGCCTTTCACAAGCTATGAAGAGTGGGCCATGGAATTGAATGAACAAAATGAAGCAGACTGGTATGAGGACTGCAGAAATAAGGTTTTGTTTTGATATCTGATATATGGTGTCACTATTGTAGCTCATAGAGGTTTATGCCCAACCTTGTAGGACCAAAGGGCTCCCACTGTGTCTCGCTGTTTTTGGGCAACTTTTTGTTAACAAATGTGTGACTTTCATAATATGATATTGTATATGTTCTAGATATAGAACAATTAAAGTCATATCACTTCACTTCAGGAACCTCCAGATGTAAGTTCCTGATGTAGCACAGTTGGCAGAGCCTGTTGGGACTGGGCCAGCTGAAGCTCATGTATTAGTTGAAGTTGAAGAAGAGCCAGCACCTACAACTAGTGCCAAGAAGCAAAAGCTCGACAAGAGACCTCGACCTCTTCCAAAACCAAGAGTCATGGCTGAGCAACCTGTGAAGCAGGAGGATGAGGAGGACTACAGGACTTTGTCTCCAGAGGAAGTGTGGGATCGACTGAAGAATGCACTTGTAGCTTAACTCATTTTAGTTGGGCAGCTGTTTTTCAATGTAGATTGCATGATGGTTTGGCCACTTCTCACGAAGGCAAGCCACCAACAAGGCTCTATGCAATCTACAGCTACAGGAAGTGCTGCTGCAGGCTCTGGGCAATCACAAATTCCTGCTGGACAAGCAACTTGGCTTCAATTGATCACAGACTAAGTTGGGCAGCTGTTTTGGTTGGGCAGTCCATCATAATTTCATTGTTGTTTTCAATGTGATTGCAGGCACCATGGCAAGCCAGAGTACCACCTGGAATTCCTGCTGGCTTGCTGTCAAGGCCACCCACGGTTTGGACACCTGTATCACCTGTCTTGCAGCAAGGAGTTCCTGAACCTACAACCCTACCTCCTTGGGCAACACCAGTGCAGAATGAGCAGGCAGTGAACTATGCACAGCAGCAAACTTACTTCCAACAGCAGGCTCCAGTGATGCAAGGCTGTGTGGGAGGTGTTGGAGTACAAGCTGTGCCAACCTCTACTGCTTCAGCTCCAAATGGTTTTGTGAAGGACCAGACTGGTTTTCACTGGCAGGATATTAGAGGACAATGGCATTCCTTTAGGTATGCAACTCACATTGAATATTAAATCTGTATAACTTTTGTTATTGTGTTTATTTTTGGGTTTTGTAAGTTCAATATCATTTTGAGTGTTTTCATTTGTTCAACAATCAGGCAGAGAAGAAGAAGACCGGCTTCCAAAACAAATTAGCTGTTCTCACTGCATTGCATCAAGTTGGTGAGTGGCAAAGGATGCAAGAAGAACTTTCAAGAATGTCCCAGTGGTTTGCACTACAGGAACAGCTACACCCTCTGATCTCATTGTACCAGCACATTGGCATCACTGCCTTTTACATACTTGGATATTTGCCATGGCCCAAGTAGGATGACTTGAGACTACAGCCAAGGAGAAGAGAGACTGGAAAAAAGAGTCTTACTTTACACTGTATCAGCCTTTACAGGCTCTTCACTTTGTGTAGCCTTTGTAGGCTCCAATGTTCAAGCTTTTTGATGTTACCAAACTATATAGCCTTTGTAGGCTCCAATGGTCAAGTCTTGTGAGGCTCAAAGATTATATAGTCTTTGTGTGCTCAAATGTTCAAGTCTTTTTAGACTCATAGATTATTTAACCTTTGTAAGCTTTAATGTTTAAGTTTTTCACGTTCACAAAGGATATAGATTTTCTAAGCTTTGATATAATATTTTCTTTGTTTAACATTTTTAATCAACATATTTTTTGAATATGAGTAGATTCTTAGATCTGTGTATATATGCTTCCAGATGTGAGCAATGTACAGCAAAAGTCACGATACGATGCAACGAGCGATCGAACCCAAGCTGCCGCACAAGTTTCCTCTCACACTTGAGCCAAACGAAGTTTGTGTTTGACTTCTGTCTCTGATGTCTATACAGCAGTGCTTTCACTCAAGGTTACGTGTAACGGTATGGCATTGTTGCCACTGCTATTCCAGAATGCCATTGCAAACTGCAATGCAATGCTTACACACAGCATCAATTTCCAACGCTACCAAGCAAGGGGAAAAGCTGGTAGCCAATGCTATCTCTCACATGTTACAAACCATGGTTCTAACCGAGGGTGGTTTTCTCCCCCC